CACTGTTTCACTGTCACTTCTGTACCGTGAACTTATCATTACAGTTAACAAATAATTCCTGGTTATTCAGTTACTTAACCATGTAGGGTAATGCGCTCTTCCTAAAGCATTCAGTTCTTATTCTAAAGCAGTCAATCTGGTTATTGGACCTGTGCATGGTTGACGTAGACGGCGCTGGACTGGGCCGCCGAGATCTGGGCCTCCAGGGAGGTGTTGCTCTCCTGCAGGACGCGAACCCTCTCGATGTAGGCCCCGAACCGGTCATTGAGGCTGGAGAGCTCAGTCGCCTCCGCTACGAGAGTCATCCCGGCCATGTTGTCCTGGCGTGCGCTTGGAACAGGCTTGGAGAAAAACTGGACGGTCTTCCTACGGTGGATACCGGCCTTTGAGCCTTCCAGATGTATAAGTTCATCGGCGTAATCACTCCCTGTCATTCATTTAGTCAAGAAGACATATCATTGGCCAGCCTGAGCAGTTGTGTACAGAATTACGACCGTTGGTTATGTAACGACAAGTTGTGAACCTGCGACGTCCTGGCACATTGAGGTCTGTTATGTTCTCGTCCTTGTGTATGTAAGTGCTGAGGCAGCTACCAGGCATTCCCAAACCTAGGTATGTGGGGCAAGCAAATATCAAACGTGAATCTCGGATGTTCGTTATTCTGAGATCATTTACGTAAGCATTCCATGTTAATCACTTCGTCCAGCTTCAACCAGATACATCGGCCGATTTATACGTGTGAAGCCAAGCCAAGGAACGTCACGGAACATTGCCTTATATGGACATGGGGTAACCATCATGGACCAATGGACTTGCTGATGACCTCTGGTAGTCATCCAAGCAGATCCTAGGGTGGCAAAAGACAGTATCAAATTGGCCAGACAGTATCCATTCGCAAGAGACGGTCAATCAAATTGGCCACCCTTGGCCACCATAGGATGTGCTTGAAGATTAGGCACCGGTGTAGAATGCTGCATTGAAATTTCTCTCTTGTTGCAGCCTAAAGGCATTCTACGGCGGCAACAATACTGGCAACATTCTGAATAAGACAATCTATGTGTTATTGACACATACTACCGCACATCACATAAGCACATTCGCATCAGTATTTGATACTTAGGGCGTTCAGAACAGCGCAGAAACAATCCCCAAGATGAGTCCGTTATTGTCTGGATGGTATATCCGATAATCAGCCCAGGATCCTACCGGTAACCAATTTTTGCGCCAGCGAAATGTTTCAAAATGTTTCAACATTCGGGTCTGGACAGCGAGAGGTTGGGCCGTGTTTGGGGTTTGGTTGGCTGATGGTTGGTAAGAGGTTGGTAAGAGTTCGGCTGTGAGCGTAAAAGCTCAATGATAATAACGACAAAATGCAATGCATGCAAAATAAAAACTATCCCTGAAGTATGTAGTAGACGGAATGAGTTCTAGATACAAATAGTTCCAAGGCACTCTTGAAGCATTTTCCCTTCAAACATTTGATTGCCCTACATAGTGTGGAGCTCAGACGTTACATAACTTTCTATATGAAGCTTTTGGTTATGTAACGACAGGATGTGAACCTGCGACGACCTGACACATTGGGGTCTGTTATGTCCTCAGTAAACCTTGCTGAACCAGCTAATCTATCTTGTGTGTGTTTTTATCATCTAGAACAACTTAATTCACCAATACCGAGCTTCGTGGGCTTAGCAGATTGGCAGGAGGTGACCATGTCATAAAGTTAAAAGCCACAGAGCAGATAGATAGCGCCAGTACTGCGAGAGTCTCGCCGAGAAGCCAGTTTCAACCGAAGACAGGGTCCAAGCTCCACAGACACGCCATGTCCTACACGCGAGCGGGAGTCGGCGGCGGCAAGCCCGTTGCAAAATACTCCACCGAGGGAGCGCTGCAGTCCCTCGCCGACGCCAGGGTGAACCGCAGCAGCGAGAAGACCCAGCTCATCATCCTCAACGACCGCTTCGCCGGCTACATCGAGAGGGTGCGCGCCCTGCAGGAGCGGAACACCCGGCTGACCACCGAGCTGAGGCTGGTGTCTGCCCGGGAGGAGTCGGCCATCTGCGAGCTGTACGAGGCCGAGCTGAGGGAGCTGCGGGCTCTGGTGGACCAGCTCACCCAGGAGAAGGCTCAACTGGACGCCGAGAACGCCAGCTGGCAGGCCAAGTCGGCGGAGTGGCAGGCCAGGTAAAACCCTTTACACCACTATGTTTAGGAGAATCAACCCTATCCCATAGCATACTAATATCTGTGAGGCAAAAATGCGATGCTGCTGACGGAAAACGGTTGCCTATTTTGCATCGAAGGCTGGTTCTAGCTATTTATGGGCGGTTGCCTGAAGCCTCACATCGGCTTAGTCAGTGGCAGGCTAGGTAACACCCTGTACACTACTGTGTTTGGACTTAGATTACTTGCCCTGCCCCATGGTAGCCTTCACCAGGCCTTTCTACGGGAATACGGATCGTAGAATTCGGCAAAAAAAAAGATAGTAAAATTGGCCAGGGGAATCCGGCCACGGGAAGGTTTTTCTTTCCCTGCGCGGCCAGTCAAACCCCAAGGCGGCCAAACTCTCCTGGCAAATATTCTCCTATATATAGCCAGCGTAGTTAGTCTGGTAGTTGTCGACGGAAGACGGTTGCCTGTTTTGTATCGAAGGCTGGTTCTAGCTATTTATGGGTGGTTGCCTGAAGCCTCACGTCGGCGGAGTGGCAGGCTAGGTAACACCCCTTACACTGCTATGTTTAGACATTTTCTAATTCTAAGAAGATAGAATGTACTGTACTTTCTAGTACATGTAGTTCCGAAGACTTTTACATGTAGATAATATGTTACTGTTTCAAAACACCTTCTCGTTTGGATGCATGGGCAGGTGTGTGACCGAGACTGCCGCGACTACCGCGGTGAGGACAGAACTGGCAGCGGTCAAGAAGGTGCGTCTCCTCCCGCTATATCTTCATCACACGCCATGGACATGTTAAATTGTTTGCGATCTTACACTGCGATCATGAATTTTGTTGTTTCAAGAATCTGTGTTGGTAGTTACATGTTTTAAGTTAAAACTTTTGTTTCAACCTTTCGACCAGTCACTCTGGTCTTCTTCAATAGACTGACCCAGTCTGGTCTTCTTCAATAGACTGACCCAGTCACGTGGCATAACTGAAGTGTGACGTCAGCGCTGGGTTAAAGGTATTCGGTGAACGATGTCTAGCTTTCTGGGAGGGGTGAGAGAGGCTATTTACAGCAAGGGTACATCACTCAATCGCAAAGGGGGCCGACCTAGTTTACCGATGGATAGCTTTGACCCAGTGTTGACCTCACACTTATGTTATGCCACCTAACAAGTCTCACTGGGTCAGTCTATTGAAGAAGAACAGAGTGACTGGTCGTATAAGCTCTACAGTAGGTGGGAACAATCCCTTGTGCGGTGGAACAAAAGTTTCAACTTTAAATATGTTTGCGTTTTTGTATTTTTGGTTCTGTTTGTGTTCTGCTACACATGGTTCAAATGAGAGAGAAGTTCTACAAAATGAGTAAAGAGACTCTTTTTACTGGTAGCAACGACACCTGTGCTGCAATGCAATGTGAACCAGTAAGAATTGCCCTGTGGAAGGTGACAGACGGTCACCGAAACGTCGGCTGAATAAAAGACTTGGTTGTGTAAAAATAGTCTCTTTATTCAGTGTCTTACCAACCTGATGAAACTATTCACGGAGTTCTGCAAAATGTTTCCTAGGAGGTGGACGCGGCGACTGTGGAGCGTGTTGGGTGGGAGAACAAGCTGACCACGATACAGGAGGAGATCGAGTTCTCCAAGAGGGTCTGGGAAGAGGTAAGTAGGACTGTCTAGCCTCCATCAGGCCTTCCTACGGGAATACGGACCGTTGCATTTTGCAAAAAGGAATGTGTAAGGATTTTGAGAACACTTTTGCTGAGAAGCACTGTATGGGGGCTTGAGCAACTCATGGGGTTTTGAGAATATTTGTTACTTACAAGAACTGGGGGTTTCAGAACACTGAAAAGCACTGTATGAGCCATGGGGATTTCGAGAACAAATGTTACGAACAGGGGGTATGGAAAAGGTTGATATGGAACAGTCTATTTTGGAATGAGGAGGAAGAATGGGTGAAATATGCTGTATTTGCTCCCGAGCAAATGTCGGCCTTTTTTATTATTTGTATCTCTGCTGTGGCAAAGTTGCGTCCGCATTGGGTGCGTTTCGATGATATCAGGACTTGCTATTATATAATCCTTCAACACGTGAGCTTTGTTTCCCGTCCAGGAGACACGCAAGGTCCAGTCCCAGCTGACCCAGACTGTGGCCATCGCTGACACTGACACCCAGGTCATCTCCGGACCGGACCTGAGCGAGACTCTGCGGGAGATCCGCGTGCAGTACGAGATCATGGGCCGCGCCAACAGGGAGGAGGCCGAGAACAAGTACAAGGGCAAGGTTAGAATGGGTTCATGGTTTTGACGTGCTGTAGACCTGTTAGAATGGGTTCATCGTTTTGACGTGCTGTAGACCTGTGCTTATCTCCAAGGCAGATCCCTTTCTATGGCAAGACAGTTTCCATTAGCCAGAGGAGTTTGCACGGCCACCTTCGGTGGCTAATGGGCACTCCCCAGGCCAATAGATACTGCCTTGCCACCGCATGATCTGCTTGGAGATTAGACCTGTGCTGCGTTTTGTGTGGTGTTAAATGTATGTCAAAAGCTAAGGCCACATAAGCTTTTAACAGGATCTGTTCATCAGACTGTTGACATACGAAATGGCTACCACAAAGTTTAAGTCACAGGCAAGCAAACAAGCAAACAAACAAACAAACAGACAAAAGACGTTAATGTTGATGTTGTTTTATTTCTCCAGTTCAGCGCGATGTCCCAGCAGCGGGAGTCGGATAACCAGGCTCTGGCAGCCGCCCGGTCCGAGCTGGCCGGCCTGAAGAGGACGCTGCAGTCCATCATCACCGAGACAGAGGCACTGAAGAGCAAGGTCAGTTCTCAATCAAGGTTGAATTGAGTTTCCAACACGCACACACACACACATACATACGCAAATGTGTGTTTTATACTGGAACTAAAAAAAGAGGAGAATTTGAATTCATCATGAAAGTTAGTTCATCTGTGTTGGTAGTAACCATAGTAAAACGTTGAGCTTTACTCCAACACAAAGTTACACAGAGATTAAATTTTCAGCGACCACTGTCGCCTTCATCAGACGACCACTGTCATCTTTTTGAAGTGATTGGTCAATAATTATCCTGAAGAAGGTGACAGTGGTCACTGTGTATCATTGTGTTGGAATAAACGTTTTATTTAATTTAATTTATTTATTTAATGTTAGCTAAATGTACATTGCATTTGTATACCCTTAGTTGCAACAAGCAACAGTTAGGCAAAATTGTGACATAAATTTTTTCCTTCCTCTACAATAGTCTGGCTCCCTGGAGGCGAACATCGCGGAGACAGAGGCCCGCACGCAGAGGGAGATTGTGGAGTTTAAGGCCGCCATCTGCGAGCTTCAGGCTCAGATCGACAGGATGAAGTCAGAGATGACTCAGCACTCCGTGGAGTACCAGGAGCTCATGAGCATCAAGATGGCGCTGGACGTGGAGATCGCGACCTACAGGAAGCTGCTGGACGGGGAGGAGATCACTGACAGGTGGGGCCGTCTCCATGGTTACTTAATTCTGGGTACGGAAGTATTGTTTTGGGGCGACTGTCCTAATTGCTTCACTTGCATTGTGGGTGGGAAAGGATTTAGACAGTTGATTGGTAGGGATTTCACCCTTACGATGACCCATCACATACCCTTCAGGTACATGTACTAAAATCATGTTCTGTTTTGAAAGATCTAGAGTTCTGTTGCTTTCTAGCACAAAAAGATTAAAGTCACCGACGTTTCGACCAGTATTCTTCAGGGTAACTGACAGTGTGGACCCGATTACCCAGAACTTGTCACTTGCTAGAATTGTGACGTGATCAATGGGTCAAAGGTGGGCTGTAGTCTGTAACGGTCCCCGTCCGGTTCAAGGCCCTGATCTAGATTACTTTTTCCCGGCCCTCTCAAAATGATAGAATAGTACAAATGAACTCCCACTCCAAGATGTTTCTGTATGAAGGTTTGTTGAAAGGTAAATGTAAGGCCAGTTTACTTTAGCTAAGATATAGGACTGGATCTATATCTACTTCATCATATGTTCCAGTTTCTTACCATGTTTCTTTGTGAACTCTTTTCTTATGACAGGATCTTCAGTGAGGTCCGTGCCTGAAGTTTAAGGTGATGTCAGCAGCTGCGTGTTCCAGTTGAGAAGTCGAAGGAATCCGACCGTATTACGTACAATGAGCTATGTTGTGATGTCACATTATATCCGCATTTTATCGAAACAACCCCGACCTTATCCTAGCTACATTTGGAAACTAGTTAAGGTTTGTCTGTAGAACTACTATTTGTCCGAAGAACCGTTTGTTATTGTTGTTGTTGTTTTGAGACGGAAGGAGGCCGATGGTGATGCTTTGCTTGCGTTAGTGACAGGACGTCGTCGCGGCTAGTCGCAAGCATCACGTAACAGTATACAATTGTAATGGCCCACTACATTATCACGGTGATCCACAGGGCTTTACTTAATTGGACGATGGACAGGCAGACAATCTTTGTCGTACCATACAATTATGATAATAAGGGCAAACAGATTTTTGAACATGTAATAAATGATGAGAGAGATGATGTGCAAGAACCTTTAGACCAATAAACATAACTTTGATACACTCTGACCCTTTGTGTTTATGTATATTTTTTTCTTGCCGTTTTATAAAATGGAGACAATACAGTACATTTCTCAATACAGACCCCAGAACTGTGCTCTTGTTTAATGAGTCAGTTGTAGCTGAACATAGCAAATCTATGCAGTTAGTAACACCATAACTGCAAGAAATAAAACTGATGGCTATATCAATGATTTATTTTTATATAAAACTGTAAATGTTTTTTTCTGTTTCACAAGTCCTACACTGTATTATCCTATGCAGCTAATTTACAGATATTTTACACTCAATACACAAAAATGACCCTTCACGGAGTGGATTGATTCAACACTTTATTATTAGCATAGCAAAGCTTGGTTCTTCTACAGTAACAGTAAAACTATAACATGAATGGGGTGAAATAAAAACGTGGCAACCTGAGCTTTATAATAAATATATAAATCTGTTGACCATTGAAAAATATTTCCTTTGTGCAAAAACACGTAGCTATCCATTTGGTCTTACTCTCAAGTTTAATTGGTACATCTCATATAGGCAAACCCATACACCAGGCATGGGGACATGGATTTTGTATAAAATGTGTAAGTACTATAACTATTACTTTGTCAAACACACTTTTAAACAGTACCCTGAAATGCAATAAAGGAATAGACGAGTGTGACAATCAAATATTTCATTTCAAAGTTTGTCTTGGTACTAAACCCCTCATCGCAGTGTTGACAAAAAACAATAAAATTACATTTGAAAAGAAAACCTCCTAACAAATACATGTATGCCAAAGCGCAGTTTGACTACAATCTATACTTTTCCTCTGCTACTGTACTATATGCGCACCCAACCTTGTATTACGTACGGCTAGCGTCGGTTGGGAGATGGTTAGACAACAGGGCAACAGCTATGACACAATGTCTGATGAATGATGTGCTAGATTACTTAGTGTACGTAGCTATTCAATGATATGCACCCTAGAAAATAAAGTCAAAAAGAGGGGTAACATTAAGTAATGGCTTAACATGAAGGTTTTGTTGCCAGTTTGACTCATATCTGTATTAAAGGATATTTATCCTCAACGTCTAGTATACTACATTGCTGACCTACGTTTTTGCATTTTCGTCTCAAAATGCATCTTACAGACAGTATACTATAATATATATTATGTTCATTGATATCCTACTAAGGATTGTGGAATTTTGTAATATCGAAGTTTACAATGTGCTGTTGACGTCTTCCTGATTCATGCGAGGAGCCCTTGGACGCCTTCCCCCGGGGCTTCGGGACCGGGACCGGGATCGCGAACGGGACCGGGATCGCGAACGGGACCGGGATCTCTCACTTCCGCTGGGACTACCTGGCCTAGAGCCGGGGCGGGATCCACGTCCGCTGCTTCCACCCGGACTACCTGGCCTGGAGCCTGGTCGTGATCCTGGACGGGAGCCTGGTCTAGAGCCTGGACGAGAGCCGGGGCGAGATCCACTTCCACAACTTCCACCTGGACTTCCCGGACGGGAACCTGGTCGTGATCCTGGACGGGATCCTCCACTACTTCCACCGGGGCTGCCTGGTCGAGAGCCTGGACGGGGATCCACTGCCG